TTCACACATGACGACCGCCTGTGTGCAAAATAGGGTAACGTACTGTAAACTTACGCTGGGTTAATACTCTGGTTAAACATAATGGTTAGTGACTAGCTGTGACATATATTCCGTGACTTACTGACACACACGTAAATTGGTAAAATGTTTCCATGCACACTTAAGAAATGCTGAGAATTACAGGTTAGCATCGCAGAACTCCCGCACCGCCCATCTGATGTCACAAGCTTATATGTAAACAAACACGCGTTGACGAGGACTGCGTGCCTTCCATATCGCATTTCGAGCAAGCCTGCCTAAGCCAACATACAAGCGCCGCGGGCAGACGTTCCACACACAGTCTACGTTCATTCGTGCTAAACAATAGGTAGCTGCGTTCGTTAGGATTTCGGAAATTTAATTTTAAGAAATCTAATGTTCAGAGTGAACGAAAAGCGGCGTGTGAAAAACGCCCTAATTTAATTCCACCTCTGGTGCGAAATGCATGCTGGCCCTTTCATTATTTACGAAAAGCAACACAGTCTGCCAGAATCACCTACACGCATATACGTCTGACGAGGCGTCTATTGTCCCTCGAGGGTACGCTGCTCGGTAACTCTTACCTGGTCTGCGGTATACCGAGACATACCCTGTGGCGCTACCAGAGCTAATAATATCACGTTAAGTGTATGGGGTGCCGTCTTGCTGTTTTGTCTATTCGTTAATATTGGCTGCCCAGGTGTACTCGCGGCTTACTGCCTATTTATTATCGAGCTCTTAGGGGTAGGGGTGCCTACTGCCTACTCCCTAACCCTAGACCCTCCTAAACCTCTAGACCTTAAACAACAGATAGTTACCAGGGTATGCGTTCCGGTATACCGGACCTGTACCCAGTGTTAACGGTTCCGGCTATAACCCAGGGGGGACATGCACCCTTGATGAGCCGCAGTAGACGCCGTCGACGGTCGTTGACGCCCATTTCGCGATGCCCATCAACGAGTAAGACGGGGCTTCATTCTGATTACGGGATAGCGAAAATGCACAGAAGAAGGACGTATGCGCGAGGCGTGCGTGCTAACGGTTGTTATTTTCGTATTTGTGCCAAACTCTATCGTAGCGAAACGCGTTTCTAGCTTCGGCCTAGCCAGTAATGTCCCCTAGGTCTTCTATGAGGAAGTCGCTGAGGTGTCGGTGTCCAATGGGGTCGTTCCATATTTCACAAGAGATATAAAGAGATCACTGGGGGTTGGGGGGGGGGCAGTCGGGGGTAGGCCTGGATTGGGGAAGGACAGCGAGAAGGGTGGTGCAATCCTCGCCCCACCTGCGGGGGCGATCATGGGCGCGCATCCATCGCGAGGGCCACGAGTAACTATATTTATTTTTGCATTTCTTATAAATCGTAATTTCTACCTGCGCTCTGCGTGGTTCTAACACGAGTAACATCAAAATTAGGATGCCGCTGGGACGAATATGTGTAGTCCCACCTAACGCGTGCATTCATGGCCAGACTATTGGAGCCAATTTGACAGCAGTTGAGAGGCGTCTTTCACAATTTATATCCTAGGCACACCATGTCATACCGGCCCTACAGATTACACAGTCGCTTTGGCTACGACGGATCAGTGATAGGTTCATTCACAAGCATATTCATTAAGGTTGTTGCGAGATGCTTGCCCTGTCGGATGTATTTGTCGTCGCCAAATCTTTAACTTTAAGAGATTGCTGACCTTAGCTATTGTTAACAATTTTAACTGAAAGGATATCCAATGAGAACCTGAGATAACACCTGCATCTCTCTTAAATGCAATGGAGGTTTTTTTTGGGGCGCTGAAGAGGCCTCCCCGTTACTAGGCGTTGTGAGGCCAAGAATCAAATGCCAAAAATCCTAAATCGCGCATTTTCGGCTAACAGGGGCTGTTGTTTTCGATGCATTTCGTGCGATCTGATTCGGTTTAACATTACTTCTGATTGAGTTGTACCACGCCACCGATTAGTGAAAGATCATATAATATATCGTGGGAACCGAATGCAACTGTACAGCATCAAGTCTACGCCTATGAGATTGCTCGATCAAAGGAAATCAGTATATTGCCGCCAGAAATTACCGAACATAATTGCGGTCACGTCCAAATTTTGCAGCGAGTTTCCGGGAGCAGATTAGGATTCCTTTATGCACACTGCATTCTTGACGATATCTACGCGGGGTTCGTGTATACGATCACACGGTCGAGGAGATCGGTTGTTTAAGTTTGGGTCGAATTATTGTGGCGACGGATGTCCGCAAGGGTGCAAATCTGGAATAGTGGTCGGCAGGCTGTGTGGTGTCTGTGTGGCTGTTATTGGATTGATGGGTTGGTGTATAGCGGGCGGGAACGGGGCTGTGTTTAGCTTGAGTGAGTGAGGTGGTATTGAGGGCTGATAGCTGGACGATCGTACAACGGGGGGACTCGCTAGTGTGCGTCTGTGTGCGCTCGTGAGTACGACTGTTGATAAATTATATGCAGTCGTTGGTGGCAGTGGGAGGGAGTAGGAGAGGTAGTATGTGCCGAGGCGCGGCCTGCAGATGGTCGACTTGTGGCATGTGTCGAGGGGGAGGGGGTGGTACCGGCGAGGGCGGTAGGGGGAGTGGAACTGTGAATTGGTCGTGGTTTGTGGCGACGGCGGCGGGCGGCCGGCGGCGCTCGGCGGGGCCAGTGTTCTTCTGTTCGAGGATGTGCGCGGTCATGGGCAGAAGCTACGGGGTTGGGTGGTCGGCGTCGAATCGATACAGGGTGCATCGTGTGCGCGACTAGGCTTTGGCTCCTGCATCGGGGGGGGGCGGGCTTGGGAGCGGCAGGGGGGGTTGTGTGGGGGGGGGGAACGTATACGTAGACTGGTGCTAATTGGACAAAGGGAGTGGTTGTGGAGTAGTGTGTTTATATCGGTTGGGGTCGCCCCAAGACGCGTCCTTTGCGCTGTTTCATGGGGTTCAGCTAGGATCGATCCAAGTGGTAGTGGTAGGTATGTTAGGGGATAGGGATTACGTTGGGTATATTACTGTGAGGCGCCCGAGGAAATTATCTGAAATCATTTATGAGACCAATTTCCACTTTGGGAATAATTGGCGCCCCCGACAACCGCTGAAAAGAAGGAATACTGTACTTTAGTGTAGTTGAGTTTACCCTCGGTAGATGGCACTGCAACATCATATTTATCAGAGCCGTATATAGAGAATAGCGTATATCTCTATATACGGCTCTGATATTTATTGTTCTGATGCACGGTTAGGAAGCGGTTAGTAACCCCACATAGAAGATTCTAAATTTCATCGGAATGCTGTCGGCTAATAATCCGATATTTTACCACTATAAGAGCAATAGTAAACACCGCCAAGCATCGCCTAAATTAAAGTATTTCTGGTTGCGAACACATAGGGTAAGTAGCCAGATGCGTGCGTTGTAATTTATAGTACGCATTCAAACCGGTATCGGCGCAGGAACGTTATACCCTGTAACAGTTAGATATATTATTCAACTGGATAACAAACAATATTTGTTTGGGAATTATTGCATACTTTGGTGGTAAAGTAGTTAAGATGGGCGGGAATGAAGGTATTTTTGTGTCAAATATATATGTAAACCGTGTCTTGCGCATATGACGCATTACGCATACGCCATATTTTGTAAACGTTCGGCAATCCATTTTGCGTCAGAAGTATTTATTTTTTCTGCAACAAAAATTCACAATAAACCACCAATTTACTTGTCTTGGCCAACAAGTGACATAACTATTGAAAATAGAGCCTCGGGCCAAACGCAGTGATCTAGTAGAAAGAGAAAGAGGCGAGTATTCTCCAATTATTGTTTCTCAGTTTCTCAATTATACATTCTTTTAACAACCGGTATACGTTTTGCGGCCATATTTCCTGTTGCCCTCTACTTAATGTGAATGCTTTCTAAAACAGCTGGGCTATTTAGCAGTACAATTAATCAGTATCTACGTCTAACTTTAAAATACTAATTGCAAAATATACAGAGCGCTCATGCCACTGGCGCCCCCAGGTCTTAAGAAAGTCGAAGCTCAGTGATAATAAAAAGCAAGCGCCGTAGGCGCGCTGCATGCTAGGGGGTCTGGGGGCATGCCCCCTCCCCTAAAAAATTTTGAATGGTAGACGTCTGGAGATGCAATCTGCTGAGTCTTGCGAGAGAGATTTAGGAACAAAATGTAGGAACAAAATTGTTTAACCCAAAATTTACTGGAAGCACTGTGCTTCCAGTGCTTCTATCTGCGGGCGCCACTGGCTCATGCAACCTGTTTACCGCGACCTAAAGCCTACATTACCGGTGTGTTACGGCAAAGTATATACTCAGATCGATGAAGGTGGGAGGAAAGAAAGATAAGAACATCAACGGAATCGACCGCAAAGTATTTGAGATGCCTCATCGTAAAAGTTCGACGATTTTCGTTATTATGGTAAAATAAGCGAGTGACGCGCTTTACGATTAACTTGTGCATAGATCTTATAATACACAGTTCCACAGAGGACCAGACCTAGTCGGCAACCGCACCGACAGCAGGCGCCTGATACGGGTTAGTCTCAATTATAGTTTACTGTCAAGTCAAGCGCCTGCGGCATACTAGGCCGCATACTAATGAACGACTTGAGTTGACCCAGGTCAATATACGTGTTACCGCCGCCACGGAATTACTAGAACAACTGTTTCCGGCGGAGGGAGTAGAGAATTCCCCTAAGGCCTAAGTGAATTTCGGCAATTCAGGTGAAACTTGAAATCGTTATTCCACGCACGAGTTCAATGGCGCTTTCGAGATCACCTCGAAATGATCTTTTCGAGATTATGGTTAAATTTCTACATAAGCAGCATAAGATTTGCGTTTTTACCCCGAGTAACTACTCCTACAATAAGAAAAAAAGGATAGGAAATGAAAGAAAATGCGAATTTTCTCATCATTTCAACACTGAATAACCAACCATTCACTCTATTTAATCATATATTTTGTATCTTTCTCACATTTTACTAGATTGAAATTGACACGAAAATTACAATATTTAATCTATACTAACGTAGATAAATATTGTCTTATTGTTGATAGTTTTAATTATTTTCCTTTACAGTAGTGATTGATTGTAAGACAATAATGTACAGGAATGTGCCATGCAAATATTGTTTCGGCTCAAACACTTGACCAATGAAAGCAATTACACATTAACAAGCCCTTTTCGCTGTTACCTTTATGCTATTAAATGATATATAGTATCTGCGAGGTGTCGCAAAAATTTCGTGACAAATCAGGCTAAACGCTTAGAAACATCTTTTAGAGACCCACCGATGCGGTAGCAGACGCCTGGAGGCAAGCGCGGGTATTTCCTCATTCAGAGACTTGGTTAACCGGCTTAGCAACTCACGTTAGGCTAAACAATGTGTGACATCCGGGTTTGGCTTGAGCTCTACTGATCATGGACTCGCGTGTTCGACCGGTCCAATGCGACATTTTTGTGAGAATGACGTCTCAGCGCGACAGTTCAACGGCAAACATTCGTGAAACAGACAGCAGCGTTTCACGTCATGAGACTTTCTAGCACGTCAAACTGACGGTGAACGCTGCGAGTGAACGAGAGCGCAGGTCGTTTCAAACAAGGAGGAAACCCCCGCAGATAGCGACGCTCTACCACCGATCTCTCTCGCTCGACGTAATATCACCGACGATATAACTAACACCCAGCACGTCCCCCATGACGTCACGCTATCACGATACGAAAGTTCCACCACGAGCACTTATCAGTTAAACACATCGCATTTACTCGGATAAACACCACGATGAACATCGTTGCTATGGCGACCGCCGCCTGCGTCTTAGCGACTCTTCTGGCCGTTCTACGAACGACGGACGCCGGAAACATCCTCATGGTTCCCGTCGGCGCTGGTCGGCCGAGCAGCCACCGCTTCGTCATGGAGAAAGCGGCAACAGTGCTCGCCGAAAACGGCCACAGCATCACCTGGTTGCTTGGCAACGAGCATCCTCCGGTCGCGTTTGGCGCCAGCGTCACGTACGCGTCGCGGCCGGCGACGCACGTCGACGCCGACGCGCTGATCGCCGAAGGCAACGTCGGCGTCGGCTACATCCTCAACATGCTTAACCAGTTTGTCGACGCATGCGCGATGCTGCTCAACGACCGACGCACGTTCGACGAACTGCGACGCAGAAAATTTGACCTGATGTTTCTGGACGCGGCCGACCTGTGCGGGTTTGCGATGGCGGACGGTATCGGCGTGCCGTACGCCGCTATCGTATCGACGGGCACCGCGGGCGTGCTCTTCTCCGAGGCGCCTGCTATGCTCTCCTTCTCTCCGTCGCTCGTGCTGCCCTACACGAACCGCATGACGTTCGCGCAGCGATTCAAGAACACGCTCGTACACGTCTTCTTCAAGGTCGTCGGTCACGTGACGTTCGTGCGTCGGCTGGAGGGCGTCGCGCGCCGCGCCGGATTTCTCGCCGACAGCAGCATCGAGGCGGTGGCGCGTCGCACGAACATGCACTTCGTCGTCGGCGACTTTAGCTTCGACTATCCGATCCCCGTCATGCCGAACACAAAACACATCGGCGTCATCACCGCCGGCAAGCCGCTACCGCTCGCCGCGCCGCTGCAAGAATTCGTCCAGCGATCGGCCGCCAGGGGCGTCGTCGTCATCTCGTTCGGCTCGGCCGTCAACTCGGCCGGCGGCGACGTCGTGCGAAAGATCGCCGCCGCCATCGCCGACCTCCCCTACTTCTTCGTCTGGCGTCTGCGCGCAGCCGACGCGCCACCTCTCGGCGACAACGTGAAGATCGTCGACTGGATACCGCAGAACGACCTTCTCGGTCACGCCAAGGTCGTGCTGTTCGTCACCCACGCTGGACCGAACAGCGTCTGGGAGAGCGTCTACCACGGCGTGCCGATGCTGGCGCTACCTATCGTCGCCGACGAGTACGGCAACGCGGCGCGGGTCGTCCACCACGGCGTCGGCAAGCAGTTGGATTTCTACGGTTTCACGGCAGACGAGTTTCGCAGCGGCGTGATCGAGTTGATCACGAACAGGACGTACGCGGAGAGGGCGGCCTTTAAATCTCGACAGCTGAGGGCGAACACAGGGGCTTCATCCGAAGGGTTTCTCTGGTGGACCAACCATCTGCTCGAAACTAAGGGAGCGACGTACCTGAGACCAGCTTCCGTCGAACTGAACTTCTTCCAGTTTTACCTGCTCGACGTGTTCACTTTTCTTGCCGTCATCGGCGCCATTTTTGTTCTGTGCGTCTGGAAGCTGGGCGCGAGTCTATATCGGAGACGAATCGAAAACAGAAATGCGAAAACAAAGCTTCAGTGAACTTGTTTGTTCGACGCGTGAATGTAGGGAAGTATGACATTCGCGTGTATAATATAGATAGTGTGACGTGACGATGAATCGGAAATTATTCACATGCGTTATATTTACTGAACCGTATACATTTCCGTTTTAAAGTTGTAATAAGTTTGTTGTTTGTTCCCGTTGTGACGAGGGGCTACAATGAACCTACTGTGCACCGCACTACGTTGCGTTGCCTAACGTATGACCGTTGATCCGACTGTATACGCTAACTATAACAGGGTTGCTTTCAAGCTGAGGATGTGCGGAAAGACGACAAACCCGCGAAGGCAAAACTAGTATGCGTATATTTAATATTATCAGGAGTGAATAATAATATTATCTATTATCTATCTATTATCTATCATCTATTATTTATATAATTATCTATCTATATATATATTATTATTCACTCCTGATATTATCTATACATTAGAACAGGCTGGTTGCGCCTAAAGTGTTGTAGTCCCACAATCCGCGCGCTTCCATCACGCATTGTAGTGGAGCGTTTACGTCTGTCTACGCGAGCGCAAGACGACAGCAGTTGTACATCCAACCGTGTTCTATCACGCCTCTAATCGCTGCTCGTAACGTGTGTCATATCGCTGGCTCGTTTATATGCACTATTACAAGCTAAAAACATATGAAGCTCGCGGCGAGTGTACGGAACGAGTGTAGCGGAGTGTAAGGAACCCGGGTGGTCTTCGCGCGACGGCTGTGGATATAGCCAGCAGCACATGAATGCAGATCGCCATTCATGTATCCCTGATCATGTATGTACTCTTATATATGTCAGCAGCACATGCGTACAGATCGCCATTCATGTACTCCTGATCATGTATGTACTCTTATATATTGGCAGGCGTGTCAGCAACACATGAATATAGATCGCCATTCATTTACCACTGATCATGTACTCCTATATATATTATATATATATATAGATAGCAGGCGTGTATTTGCGTAGCTGGGAGCTGTGACGACAGATTGGCCGTGTCTGCGTGAGCGATGGCGATGTAGTCTAATACAGCACGGCACACGAGACGACGTCGTATGCGTATGTCGCCACATGTCTAAACCTGAGCGTAAACCACACGAGTGGACTATGCGTAGGGCCTACGGTCAGGAGTGTATATTATAGGGATCTCTATATTATACACTCCTCATGCGGTTGTATTGACGAATGTGGCTGTTCACTGACTACGGGAGTTTAAGAAAGACATTAGTGTTTTTATAACAGTTGGTTAGGGAGTTTATAAATACATTAAAATACAATAGTGAAGCGAGCGGTGGATTAAAGCAACGAGGCAAGATTCTATGTCGAATAATTAGTATGCTCATAGCTGAGCGTACAGACTGCAAATTTGATCCTACGTTAAACTATAGTCCGGGCCAGGCGAGCGCGAACTTTGTGCAGTGTTGTATACACGCTATCCCGGACTAAATACGCGCTAGTCCGAACTAATTAAGTTCATAAGTCAAGCATAACTTTCTCTCTCAAATAAAGAAAAGGCATTTGTGATAGTTCTTCTGTATCAAATATAATTTTTATTTTATACTTTATTATGCTCCCGGTGGGGTGCAGATGTGATGACACTGAAATAAATCGCGCGCCACGCAGCGTCTCGTTAGCAGACCTTGGCCCGCACTGCCTTGATCTCATCTCTCTCAGCTCCCGCGCAACTAATTCCGTCGTCCATTGATCGCCAATGTTCAGTGAAACGCACCGAATGCATGAGCGTGCGAGAGCGGAGACCAACGAGCGCATTGCCCCGCTCGTACACACACACGTGAAGCGCTACAGATATACGAAGCCGTTGGTATGCTCTAATATATATATATATATATATATATAACACCTATATTTCTAACGTTTAATTCGTTCTTACGCATTACCCATTCGCGGAGAGAGAGAGAGAGAGAGAGAGAGAGAGAGAGAGAGAGAGAGAGAGAGAGAGAGAGAGAGAGAGAGAGAGAGAGAGAGAGAGAGAGTAGAGTAGAGTAGTAGTAGTAGTAGTAGTAGTAGTAGTAGTAGT